GTTTTTAAGATTTGTTTTTATTTCTCATTATCCTACTCTGACTTTTGATTGGCAAGAAATTAAATTAGTTTCCCCAAATTGAGTCTGTTTTGCCCGTGATGGTAATAGGTGAGTGATCTCCCTGTCCTTGTCTCAACCCAGGAGCCTTTCGTCGTATTTCTCTCCCCTGTCCAGCTGAGGAGAGGGAGCGATAGAGCAGCTTGGTGGCATCCAGCCACGGTCAACTCACCACACAGGAGCCACTCCTAATACTAACAGAAATCACAGGGTTAATCACTGTTAGATGCATGTTGTAAAAAGTCTTAGGAATAGACAGTGCAAGTTGTATAAATCACTAACTAAACAGGTCTGTATCACGACCAAGATAGAATAGTCTCAAACTCTCAAAAAACCCTACAAATTTTAACTCAAAATTTTCAATATATATCAGTAAAACCCCCACCCATTTCAGCCTCCCAAATACACTAAGGCTTTCTTTATGCTAAATGAGCATGGTTTTGCTTTGAAACACACCGCAATTCAGACTTACTTGATCTCATAACCCTCTCCAAATACTGAGCAGCCCAACTGCGTTTTCCACTCAAGGGGCTCTCTGAAGACAAATGCTGCTTCTCGAGGATGTCTAGTGCTGAAGTCCTCCGCAAACTTAATAATTTGATTTAAAAGAGATTCATTCAAAGGGGTGATTTCGAGTGTGCCAGTTCCAGAACCAGCAGCAGTCCACTGAGCTGCCCTTGCCAATGCCGCTCCCATGGTTTCAACTAATATCAAAGATGTACACCTTAGCAAAGAAACACAGTCAGAGAATGACCAAACTGAGCTCTCAAATGATAAATACAATACGCTGTGAATGCTATAATTTGAAGTAAACATATCTATGAATGATTGGATTCTTTTAACTTGTTTAAATCCCCTAAGTGGGGAAGGGGGAATAGAAGAGAACTCGCAAATATTTTTAAAGAAATAGGGAAATCTGGTGAAAACACAGTTTTTTTTCATCTTGATTAATTAATTCCTGGTCCTATTAGAAAGTCAGGGAACTGACAGCAGGTGGGCTCTGTTATGGCTGTAACAAAAGGCTCTCAGGTTCTCCGTGGAAAGTTGATGCCGCTGTTAAAAACCATATGGGCAGGGGGACAGACATATACAACCCCCAACAATGACACCCCCCCAGACATTTTCTTTAAATGGAGGAAAAAGCGGGGTGACAGACCGCCCGTCAAGCCTGGAGGGGCCGAGAGCCACCGAAGTAAGACGGGCGCGGGGAGGCCTCGCTCCTGAGGAGAGCCCGCGGCGCCC